CCATATCCATATCCATATCCAGAGCTGACACAGTTTACAACATTGTCTCACGTCAGGTGGCAACGCTGGTCACGCAACGCTGCCCCCTTCAAGCTCTCTCTCTCTGTGTGTGCTTGGGTGTGTGTGTGTGTGTGTGTGTCATCAAGTGAGCAATTGTCTTGAATTAATTTCTGCTTCATCACACACGCACACGCACACACACATGCACATGCCCACGCATCGTGTGGCCAGCAACCCTTTACCGCCCCGGCATTTTCACACCCTTTTTTTGYGCTCCAACTGGTCAGCGCTGAGCAAACACTTTGATCAAGCACATCAGCAGCTTCCAGCTGAGGCTGGCGACCAGCAGACGCCGTCAAATTTAATAAAAATCACTGATTTTGATTGATGCGCCTCTTGGTCAGCAGTAAAACTCTCCAGCCCAACCAGCTAGCCCCTACCCCCCCTGCACCCCCAGCATTGTCCAATTCCCAGTTCCAGTTCAGCGTCAGCGTCAGCAAATATTGGCGGAAGGGTTGACATGTGACATTTGGCTGTCGCCCAAGTGTCGCTCCAATTGAAACAAATGAAGCGCACGCAGAGAACAGGAAAGAGCAGTTGCTGCAACTTGTCGACGCCTCGGCGGCGGCGTTTACAGCTCTGCTGGAAAACTAGATTCCAGTCGAGGTTCAGTTAAATGCTGACGGCGCTTAGGTCTAGAGCTGCACTCATATTCGATTCCTTACTAACTCCTTCTCTCTCTCTCTCTCTTTCTCTCCTTACAGCTAGGCCACGCCGTTTGTCAAGCGTTGACAATTTGACGCTCTGCACGGAGAATCATCCTTGATAGCACAWAGAACAAAAGCAACAACTCGGCTAGCTCGCAGCGCTTGAGCAAGGATTAAGCGAGCTGGTGTGAGCGAGAGAGTGCGAGAGAGCGCGCAATAGTAGACAGAGCCAAGTACTCTGAGATAGACACAAGCTGAGAGCTACAAGCACAAGCATGCAACACATTATGAATCTGGCAACGCTGCTGCTGGTGGCAGCCGGCCTGCTGCTCGTCCAGGCGGACAGCTCGCAACACATGACGAACAACGGCGGAGGCGGACACATGGGCATGGGCGGCATGGGTGGCATGGGCGGCATGGGCTCACACTCCATGGACGTGAGCCCAGCGCCGGGCTACGGCGTGCCGGCCATACCCAAGGATCCGAATTCGCGCTGCGAACAGATCACGATACCCATGTGCCGGGGCATCGGCTACAATATGACGGCGTTTCCCAACGACATGAATCACGAGACCCAGGACGAGGCGGGCCTGGAGGTGCATCAGTTCTGGCCGCTGGTGGAGATCAAGTGCTCGCCGGACCTCAAGTTCTTCCTGTGCAGCATGTACACGCCCATCTGCCTGGAGGAGTACCACAAGCCGTTGCCCGTCTGCCGCAGCGTCTGCGAGCGTGCGCGCAATAGTAGACAGAGCCAAGTACTCTGAGATAGACACAAGCTGAGAGCTACAAGCACAAGCATGCAACACATTATGAATCTGGCAACGCTGCTGCTGGTGGCAGCCGGCCTGCTGCTCGTCCAGGCGGACAGCTCGCAGCACATGACGAACAACGGCGGAGGCGGACACATGGGCATGGGCGGCATGGGTGGCATGGGCGGCATGGGCTCACACTCCATGGACGTGAGCCCAGCGCCGGGCTACGGCGTGCCGGCCATACCCAAGGATCCGAATTCGCGCTGCGAACAGATCACGATACCCATGTGCCGGGGCATCGGCTACAATATGACGGCGTTTCCCAACGACATGAATCACGAGACCCAGGACGAGGCGGGCCTDGAGGTGCATCAGTTCTGGCCGCTGGTGGAGATCAAGTGCTCGCCGGACCTCAAGTTCTTCCTGTGCAGCATGTACACGCCCATCTGCCTGGAGGAGTACCACAAGCCGTTGCCCGTCTGCCGCAGCGTCTGCGAGCGTGCGCGCTCCGGCTGTGCGCCCATCATGCAGCAGTACAGCTTCGAGTGGCCCGAGCGGATGGCCTGCGAGAATCTGCCGCTGCATGGCGATCCCGACAATCTGTGCATGGAACAGCCATCGTATACGGAGCCGGGCAGCGGCTCGGGCGGCAGCGGTGGTTCGGGCTCGGSCGGCTCGGGCTCCGGYTCGGGTGGCAAGCGCAAGCAGGGCGGCAGCAGCGGCTCGGGCGGATCGTCGACGACGTCCAACAAGTGCAAGGGCAAGAATTCAAAAAACTGCCAAAATCCCCTAGGAGAAAAGGCAAACGGAAAGGAGTGCACATGCTCGTGCCGTTCGCCGCTGATCGTCCTGGGGAAGGAGCAGCTCATGCAGCAGTCGCCCATGATGCACCATCACTGGTACATGAACCTAACTGTGCAAAGGATCGCCGGCGTACCAAACTGCGCCATTCCATGCAAGGGTCCGTTCTTCACCAACGACGAAAAGGACTTCGCCGGCCTGTGGATCGCCCTGTGGTCGGGTCTATGCTTCTGCAGCACCCTCATGACCCTAACCACATTCATCATCGACACCGAAAGGTTTAAGTACCCCGAACGTCCCATTGTCTTCCTCTCCGCCTGCTACTTCATGGTCGCCGTCGGCTATCTCTCGCGCAACTTCCTCCAGAACGAGGAGATCGCCTGCGACGGGCGACTGCTGCGCGAGAGCTCGACAGGACCGCACTCCTGCACCCTGGTCTTTCTGCTCACCTACTTCTTTGGCATGGCCTCGTCCATCTGGTGGGTCATCCTGAGCTTCACCTGGTTCCTGGCCGCTGGCCTGAAGTGGGGCAACGAGGCGATAACGAAGCACTCGCAGTACTTCCATCTGGCTGCCTGGCTCATACCCACGGTCCAGTCTGTGGCCGTGCTCCTGCTCTCGGCCGTCGATGGGGATCCCATTCTGGGCATTTGCTACGTGGGCAACCTGAATCCGGACCATCTGAAGACATTCGTGCTGGCMCCGCTGTTCGTGTATCTCGTCATTGGCACCACCTTCCTCATGGCTGGCTTCGTGTCGCTCTTCCGGATTCGCTCGGTGATCAAGCAGCAGGGCGGCGTTGGCGCTGGCGTCAAGGCTGACAA